CTGGCTATCCTATGATTATCACTGAGGTAATGGATACCTCATTACGTAAAGCTTATGAGAACAAGGAACTGACTCCTGACCCATCCTGTAGACCAGTGATTCTCTCTATAATGCATGATGTAGCTGTTGGTTTAGACTACTTACACTGTCTACCTGACCCTATTATTCATCGTGATGTCAGCAGTGCTAACGTACTCCTTGAGCCAAAGGGCCCAGGGAAGTGGAAGACAAAGATATCTGATTTTGGATCAGCTAATTTAGTACAAGATGCAGTCACAAAGGCTCCAGGAGCAGTTTTATATAGTGCACCTGAAGCACATCAAACCGTAGCTACAGCTTACAAAAAACAAACTACTAAAATGGACTCGTTCAGTTATGGTGTCCTTTTTTGTGAAGTTCTAGCATGCAATTTTCCAAGTATCGAAACATTTCCTGATCTTTTAGAGCAAGTCAAAGCAAGTTCGCCTCAATCGTTACTTGATGTAATAGTGTCTTGTATTGAAGAAGATCCTGACAAGAGACCATCAATGCAACAAATATTGCAAGTACTAGATCTGGATGAATAATTATGTATTATGTTTAGTCTAATTACATATTAGATCTAAATAGTTCAGTGTGATATTTTGTTATCATAATTTTACCTTTCTGTAACCCTAAAAATCATTTTTGAATTTTTTTTATCTAACATTTGTGCATATTAGGAGTGGACATCGGGCAGGGCTTTTCACCTATAAATTTAAAAATGGTTTTTATTTAACAAGGTCTTGAGTATAATTGTACAGCCAAAATAATCATCTGCAAGGTTATCTATTTATGCCCCCATCCTTTGGCTTCCTTTGCGTCAAAGAAACTGATGACAAAAATAGAAGAAAGAAAAAGAATTAAGATAACAAACATAGATGGATCGGAGTTATCACACCTAAGGTATGAATAGGAAGCATTGTAGTCAAAACATTCATTTTGATGAATGATAATGATAATAATATTGATTATGGTAAGGGTGCTTAAATTTTTGTCATAATCAGGCAGCTTTCTACATAACACTAGCAATTTAGGACATGCATCAGAAAGTATAATAAAAATTGGAGTGATTTTGGAACCATTTTTTGGAAAAAAGCATGGGCTATAGCAAGAGTTATTATATTGTACTTTTCACAGACTAATTTTCGTTTCATTGCTGATATAGTTCACATCTTGCAGCGTTTAGACTATTCATTTTATTGTACCGTTTTTTAATGTATAGAAACTATGATCATGTTTGTAGATGAAGTTCTTTACCAATCTCTTAAACCGGTCTGGTGAAGGACAGCCTAACATGAATGCTCTTACTCAACCTTTATTGAGGAAACTCTCTCTCAGTGTTAGCCACCTCAAGCTTAACCTCAACAACAAATGGAAAGACAGAGAGGATTTTCCAATTGAACTATTCCTTATTTTTTATTACTAACAATAGTTTTAGGACAGAATAGTATTATCACATAAGTGTCTTACATGTTTTTAATCATTTATACAATCAACTAAAAAAGATTCAGAATACATTTAACAGCTCTCATTATTAAAAATGTTCCTGCATTACCTTTTCTCACCAAACTGTATACATGCATGTATAAAAAATATAGCTCATGATACATAATTATATACACCCATTCTAGTACATACACAAGTTATAAAATCAAATGTTATTCACGGACACTCAGTATGCTATAAAGCCGATGATGCCAATGGCTTCATAATTGAAGCCATGCTCTTGAATTTGCTATGATACTTTTAAATAAAAATATGCATGATCATTAATAGACTGCAACAGTTATATCATAAATGCTCATAATTTCTTAACAACAGTAGCAATGTCATGCCTTCCAGCATTATCAAGTGCTTCTATCAATTTCTCTCTTGTAGCATTTTCCTGATTTAACCAACTAATGATCATTCGTCTCTTACATTCAGCTACAGCTCCTCTACATTCCGAATCAATTGTTTTTAGTACACGATCTTCTATATCAAGAAATGTTCCAACAATCTGCCACTCACTGACCAAATTCTTAATGGCAACTAGAATTGGAGGAGCATGTTCTTCACCTGCAAGGTATTAAAAATGTAAGAGATGGTCTAAAGCAAGGTTTATGTAATTCATGCAAAATGTAACACAAATTGTAAATCTAAAAATTTGTACATAATAAAAATGGAGAGACCCCTTCTAGCTGTAACATAAAAACTCACTTAGCTTTTCCTTGATGTCAAATGGTACTAGTGAGCCTTTTGTGCCTGCTAAAGAAAAAATAATGATAATAGGCTAACATTAAAAACCTAGCTCCTTACTTCTAAACCACCTTCTTCCCCCATTGATATCAACTGTCCTCTTAGTCAAAATGCATTGAAATCCAATATCCAGTCCTTTCTCTTCATCTCCCTCAACAATGGCAACATGAGCTGGCATTACTGAACAGGGGCAATGAAAGGCCTTTGGTATCTTCTCTAGCTTAATGAGTTTACACTTCCTTACAGTGTAATCAATGGCACTTGTTATATCATCGGTCACCAGAAAGGTAGGCTCTTTAGCATAGACTTCAAAATAATCCAGGCCTTCAACTAGTACAATGCTTTCTTCCATTCCACTTTTAGCAATGAGGAGGTGATTGGAGTAGTTGTCGTCTGATCTGATAATTCGCCAAGTGTTGTGATTATTCCGTTTCAAAGAGAGAAGATTAACAACTGTGGCACAGAATAGACCCATGGGAACAGAGTTCTCAAAATAAAAAAGCAGAGGAGGCCTAGAGGGGAATGGTTTGATATCAGATACATCTTTAGCAGGAAGGATGGCAGGCATTAAGAAACAGTCTTCCCCATGAAGTGGTACTGCTATCAGAAGGTGCTCAAACACTCCCAAAAGAACAGACTCAAAATTTGGAAAAACTTGCGATATTTTGGCACATTTTCCCGATTTCTTGAGTATACTAATAGATATTGTGCCTTCGGTAACAAAACCCCTGACTTCAGATGAAGCCCTTGCCCATTTGGGCCTATCTCTGGAGACCATTACCATTAGATCTCTAATAATATCAATGAGGCTCTCCAACTCTACAAATACGATATCTTTAGCTGGAGAGTCTGGATAATAGAACAGCATGTTGAGCATGTGAAGGAATTTCAGGCAAGTGAGAACTTCATCTGAAGACATGTATAACTTGTTCCCAATATCTTTGCATTGAGATAGAGACATAACTCCACACCCATTACTTGCTTCTTTGTGTAGTGAATTGCCAAAGCAGTGCCATTTCAAAGGGACTTTTATCTTGTATGCCTGGTCCTTCAATTTTGATGATATCTGAGCTATTACAGGATCATTGTATTCTCCTCTCTCAGCTTTGCGACCATCAATGACATGAAAGAGCTTACAAGCCTCTGAATCTTGATAAATTAATTTGCAAGAGTTTTCTATTGGTCTAAATATGTCCATAAGCATTTCCTCTTTTGTTTCAATTGTCTCAATTTCCTTTCCTTCTTTCAGTAGCTCCTCATATTTGTCACAATGTGTAGCTACAGCAATGATGTTCATTTCTTTAGGTGGGGCTTCAACATATTGCAAGAGATCATGATTATCCAATGCATGTCGGTTTGAAGCAGAGACTATTGCCAGTAAAAGCTGCTTCAAGACTTCTTTTACCTTTAAAGAGTGTTTGTCCACATCAATAACTTCATTTGTAAGCTGCATTGATGTGGAGCTGAAATCAGAGAGACTCTTCGATACGTTGATGACAAGAATAAGGACAGACACAAAAGGCATAAAGGCTGGAAGTAATTTTTGAAACTGGATCTGACCACCAGAATCAATGAGATAGAGCCAGTCGCGATGCTCTCCTAATCTCTTTACTTCTTGTTTCTCATCATACACTGGCTCATAAAACTGCATAGCTGAATTACTATCACTAATGCCTCTTTCTTTTACTCTGTTTGTAGCAGGAGTGGTAGCTTTTTTTGAAGCCTCAGAAACATCAATTTTCTCTAAACCAACTCCTTTATCATCACTAGTAAGGAACTTATTAGTGCTAATGTACTCTTTCATGGCCGGTAGAGATTCTCTTAAATTTGTTTTAGCTGCCATCTGAAGCTCAGCCATTATCTTCTCTGTCATTTCCTTCTCTTCAATAGCAGTCCAACATTCTCTCCCTTCATTATTAGTAGTATCAGTGCTACTGCTAGCACTATACCGCTCAACAGAGAAGGTACCAATTACTGGTGTCTCTATGCAGTTGGTGCTAAGGCTCTCATAAGGCTGTGAGAGAAGGAGGGACTTGACGCAGGTCTTTCCAACTCGAGCTTCCCCTTGAACAATGGACGTGCGGACATGATACTCAATGGATCCGTATTTCATTGCAATGTGAAGATTCTGGACATCTAATAACAAAAAAATTACTAAATTTTATCATT